CAGTGTCTTACGAGTTACTGCGGATGTCCTTCGAGTTACTGCGATTGTCATACGAGTTACCGAAATTGTTCTTTGATTGATTGATTGTGTGTTGTTTTACGTCCCGTTCGAGAATTTTTCACTCATATAGAGACGTCACCAAATACCGGTGAAGGGCTTCAAATTTAGACCTTCACTCGACACTCAGGGCCATTGAGCAGTGAGGGATCTTTATCCTGCCAACGCCTGTCGTGACAAGGGGCCTCGGTTTTTAAGGTCTCATCCGAAGGACCCGCAACTTTCACTTCAAAGTGCCGAGCGCTTTGCAAAGGAACAATTGCTACTATTTTTGATCGACTTAGGTCAGTCGCGGCCGTGATTCGAACACACGATCTTCCGATCACGGAGCGAGCGCTCTAGAATTGTTCTTCGAATTGAGACATGGTACGACTTTCCCGTATATATATGATGCGAAAAAGGGCGATTGATGGCAAATGCAGTACGTGTACTGTGCGATTGAACTACGAGTTTATACGATTTAGGCAGATTTTTTTTTTTATGTTAACCCTGTCAACATTTAAAATACCATATAAAACAAAAGGAAAGAAGATAAGAAGACGGAAAGAAATTGAAAATGCAAGTGTATCAAGACCATGTTCAATAAATTCAGGAAGAAATTGAACATCACACTGTAGCCATTTTCCTGATCAACCAACTTTGATATGATGATTAATTATTTCGAACATCTCACTCTTTATGCATATTCTATGAAATCGTCATTAGTCGTAGGAATATCGTGTATTTTTGGCATATCGTAGTCATTCGTATGAGTATCGTAGTCATTCGTATGAGTATCGCACATGTAAGCCCTTCATAATCGTAGAAATATCGTAACCCGTTCATCATTTAGTAGCCTCAGTCTTAAATCGCCTCGTTTCGTCACCATATTATATTTTGTCGAACAGACCTTTCGAGCAGCAAAAGATACCACACGCTGGAAAATCGCAAGACTGACCTGGCGAATAACGACGATTGTTAACTCTTGATAATTCGTGGGAAATCGTAGCATATATCGTGACAGTGTGAGAGGGCCTAATAAAGCTTAGAAATTCGTTTCGAAAACATTTTAAATTTTCACAGAATATGGCTTGTCAAATACAATGGATCGCTATACAACAGCTGTATAATAGGCCGGTACTCGACAGGGGTGTAGCTAGGGGTTGTTTGATGTGGAAGCACAAAGGCAGCAGGTTTGTGGGGGGTCGACTTGAGGTCCCCGATAGATCCCGTGCGAAGCCCTGGTGAGGGCCCAGGGGCGAAGCCCCCGAGAGTTGGTGAATTTTAGCATCCCTGACGGCTGACTTCGCGTGTACAAAAAATGCTGCTGTCATCATATTTTTTTTTTTTTATAATTTCTACTGGTTGGAGTCTGGGGGCAAAACGCCTTATAGGCTGGTCAATTTTCAGCTTATTAAAGTAGATTTACTTTACAGTAAATTTGCTGATATTTTAAATTTCATCATTTAAAATGCAGATTTCATCATGACATTTTTGATTAAATGAAAAAAGAATCTTCCATTTTATTTTCACCTAACGAGTTTTGTGTTTTCTATCAAATGGTTAATTTTGAATTTTAAGGGGGGGGGGGTAAATTTTGCATTTACCTCGACCTAATAAATTCAAAATTTACAACATAATACTTCTTTCATATACTATGTTATGAAAATAATTTTAATTTTACAGTACTATATAACAATTTTGATTGTATTCTTTTAAAATTATTCTTAGTTATCCAGGTACACGAAGTTGAAGGAAAACTGAGAATATTTTCTATATCTTCTATATGAAGTAAATTTGTATTCATTTTCAAGTCTTGGGTCTTAGATTTAAGGACATACGCAACGTAGTTTTGTGCTTTATTTAATAATTCTGTGTATAATTTAAGAATTCCATTAATTGAAGGACCTCTGTGCAACTTTTATAATGTCTAATGACGCTGTTCACCTCTTCTAAATCAAATTTTGCAAAAATACAAGCTAAAACTCTACTCTTGCTAATTTTTATTTGAATAACATTAGGATTTTTCATCATTTGATATCTGTTCAAAACCTCTGGTAATGTATGCAGATTTTTTGTCTGAGAACATCTGATGGTACTATGATTGAAAATCAAGAATATCGTTAAAATATTATTAGTGAGAAAGGTACATTATACTATATGTTGCGTATGACTTTGATAACAAACAGTGTATTGTAATGAAAATGGAGAATTAATGATGTGTATATAGCAGACGTGTATGATAATAACATAAAAGATATGAAGATTACACGTATATTTTGTTTTCAATGATATCAAAATCTTCAGCATTAAATACTTATATTAATATTTTATCCACTTCGTGACACGGAGACCGATTCTCCGGATGAGACCGTATAAACCGAGGCCCCTTGTCTCAGTAGGTGCTGGCACAAAAAAGATTCCTTTCTGCTCAAAGGTCGTAGGTCTAAATTTTGCAGCCCTCCACCGTAAAATGGTGGCGTCTCAATATGTTAAAGTGAAAAGTTCTCGAAGGGACAGTGAAACAAACAAATTGAACATTTTATTAACAATGTTCAGTACTCTTCAAATACCCCCTGTACGCCATCTCGTTGTTTCTCGGCAACTCCCAAAGTCTAGACTATCTATGAAAATACCATCTTAAGGTTTAAGTCCTGTATTATGTCAAGTATTTAGGACCTCACTTTAACATGAACCCTATCCGTCCTTTTCTTTGAAAAGGAAAGCTTCTTTGACCGTGTCTCATAGGGTAAAAGTATATTGGTGATTACCGGTAATTCACCAAAAATGTATTTTGCATGAAACTTTTCCACTTTGAAAGTACAATATTTAAACTAGTTTTGATCCTCGTAAGCAGTAATGATTTTACAACTTCCATTTGAACGCGCTTTGAAAATAAAGATTATCAATGAAATTGAATTTGAAAGACTTTTTCAATCAATTCAAGTGCGTGCAGAAGAAATGCAAATTTCTCCCGAACAGATTCATTGAAAGAGACGTTTGATTTTCATCCGTCTGTGACTTGAACCTCATGCTTGAATGTAGGCCTTCCTTATGACGTATCATCACACAAAACATAAAATCAGTTAAACAGGGCATTTTGTCCTTTAAATGATCTATTTACAATTTATTGTATTCATGCGCAGTATCTGTAACAACTTTAGTTGTTTCTGTTGCATGTCGTTTTTAAATAGATATAAAAATAATGAAAGATATACCATGATAAGAAAAATCAATATGAGTTTCATTTCTTTTTCTCGACCTCATACAGCTGTAAATATATCTGTCATGAAACTTTAATTAAAGATTCTTGATAATTCTTTCCAGCTATTTACTAGCTGTTTCCTGATACGACTGAAAACATTGCACAACGTTTTTAACAGATTCTGAATAACATAATTCTCTAATAAGACTAGCAGTTAACTCAGGCATAAAGTGGAGAACATGTTCATCCAGGGTCGCAGAAGTACAGACAATGTCATGCTAAAAGAAGTTGAAATCATTTCGAGACGACATTGCTCCATATTGCACACTACGCATGGTGCACTAACAGAATATGTTTCTTATTTACTTTTCTGTATAGCATATAGGCTTTAGTTTTTACACAATTTTTAGTTAATTGAGGGTTGACAGTTTGGAATTATATATCACGAACTGAATAGAAGAAAGCAAACTTCAAGACTGTGAAAACAATTTCTTTTTTTTTTTTCTTGTTTTTTTTTATCCAGGCCAAACCGTATACCGGGATTTTTGAGGTGCGGATACTAATATCTGCTTATTTAAACGATTTGGTTGTAGAACGCTCAAATTTAATCGCTAAATTTGCACCCTTGAGTATATATGTACAGAGGACAAGAAATACAGTAAAACTCGTTTAGTACGAACACGGATATAACGAATTTACGGATATAGCAAAGATTTTTGCAATCCCCGGCGAAATTCTCAACAATTCCTTGTAAAATATTACAGATATAACGAACTTGCATACAATGAATTTACGGTTATAGCGAACTGATTCTGTGTTCCCTAGAAGTTAAAAATAACGAAATTTACATCTTTTATAGTGAATTTGTAAAGAATTTAGTTTTTTTTTAAATATTGAACTGACATTTACTTTGTAAGTATATATATTTAGAACACTATTCATCCGAAAATTTTTGAACTCCAAGATAATTTAAATTTTATATTTTATACTTCCCTAAAAACATTTGGTAGTCATACTTCAAGGAAAAAAAATCTATATTGTGAAGTCGCTACATACTTTGACGAATTTGTTATACGGATATAACGAATTACGGATATAGCGAAGTAAATTCTCAGGTCCCCAGAACTTCGCTATAACCGAGTTTTACTGTGTATAAGCTTGATCAGTCTTGTTAAACATTATTTATTTGCATTTCCAACTGTTTTCTCTGTGATAACACTTTGAAAGTTAAGTGTATTGATTTCTCGATAAATACGACTGAATGTGAATTTCTCCAAGTGATAGGTCAAGTGCCTAATATGCATTTCAATTTCCCGCGGCTGTTGTGTCTGACATCAGTGGGAGGGGACTATGGAAATTAACAGAGAATACTTCGTGTATTTCATATCTATTAGCATTTTTGTTTATTCATATCTATTATGTAGATATAGGGAATCAATGATAATTATACCCAACAAACTAGACAGTGATTCCTTATCCTTGGTTTTACTTAAACTTGCGTAAATGGGATTCAAAGTAAAACGTAAGGGAAAATAGTCTGGAAAAATAACTACAAGTCCTTCCCTTTGCAATGTCTGAACTCCATGTCTACCTAATAAAGTTATAAAAAATTAATAGAATACTTGTGAGCAGGGAAAACTCTAGATTTCACACCCGCTAAAAATCTGCTATACGGTATTTAATTCTTATATTCCATAAAAATAGTATACAATTTTTCAGATGAACAATTCTTGAAATTCTTTTTCTTTTTACTTTACAGTCTTGGTAGGTAAGATGGCCACGGGGATGTCAAGTATCGAGGTATGCCGGGAAAAGCTGCTAATGGCTTCCCTGAAGGCCCCGTCGCAACAACACATCAATGCGAACCTTTTGGTCTCCCTACCAGACTTCGACAAGAGTCGACGACGAAGTACCATACATTCCTATACCCTTTCTAATTACCACACACTTCCCCAAGACCCCGAAACACTCCGAACTGTGCGCGAAATGAGTCAGGGAAAAGCGCTGAAGAATGTGATAGTTTTAGGAATGGCCTTCATGTTTATTTTTACTGCCTTTGTATCCTTACAAGGTTTACAAAGTTCTCTTCACATTAAGAGTGGTGTCGGTGTGTTTTCGCTCTCCAGCATTTATATAGGTACCATAATTTCCTGTTTCTTTGCACCTTGGATCATACAACGTTTCACCACAAAATGGACAATGGTGGTGACATTTGTAATCTTTACGGGTTATTTTGCCGGGAACTTTCATCCCGAACATTATATGCTCATTCCACTGGGCGCTCTCCTTGGCCTGCTGGCAGGCCCACTATTCAGCGCTCAAGCAACCTCTATCACCACAATAGCTTTGGCCTATGCAGAGCATTCTCATATGCCGGATCAAGATCATGTTATAAATAAATTCATGGGAATTTTTTGTGGACTATATCGAACCAGCAACATTTGGGGAAATCTTATTACAACACTTGTCATCAATAAAAATAGTTCAGAAATCGAGGGTTTCACGCATAACCATTCAAATCGCTCTTGTGGTTCTAGATATTGCCTGAAGGATGACGTAAACGACGATCTATTAGAGGATCTGATGACAACGATAGACCATAACACAAAAATCATGTTATTAAGTATTTACATGGGTTGCGGAGTGATGGGAATAGTCATACTAATCTCACTATTTGACCAGCACAAAAGGAAAAAGAAAAACCACCATTATAATGACGATGAGCTGACGTCATCAGAAATGTTTTTATCTACGCTGAAAATGTTCAAGGATTCCAAATGTCAACTACTTATACTTATTGTGGTTTTTGTCGGTTTGGAGCAGGGATTCATGTTCAGCGATTTTACTCAGGTCTGCTTTTCTTATAACATCTCCAATTGTACAATAAGTAATGATTTTTGAGAAGTACGTTGCAACGCTTTACGAAAGAGGCAGCTTTACATTTATTCATGATTGGCGTTTCCTGTAAAATTGTAAATTTTTATGCTCTTTGTTGGAAGTATATACAAAATTACCAATATTTTCATATTCTGTAGATATTGATTGAATAATTGGTCACTAAATTGAAATTTTAAATATCAGTGGGCTATTTAGAGCTAGCGGATACTGTGATGACAAGAGAAAGAAATACATGTATATCTAATGAACAAAACATATATTACACAACATTAGGTAAATACATGCAATTGCATATTCTTTACTTTGGTCTTTGTGTGTGTGAGATATGTGTGAGGGTGTGTGTTTGTGTGTTTGTTTCTTGACTGATTTTTGTTTGTTTGTTTGTCTTGGTTTGTCTTTTTTGGTTTGTTTGTTTGTTTGTTTTGGTTCTTTGCTTAATGAACATTTGAAAGTGTAGGAAAGGGAACTTAGGTCCCATTGGAAGCATACATATAGCACACTTTACAGATTATATTATGAAAAACCGGAGTATGAATTTTATAGAATAATACTTCATAAGCACAAGTAAACTGTAGATGTATTGAGATTAAATTATATGAGGAATATAGAGAGGAGGAAGGGTAGTCCTATTCTCATGTTCCTTTTGATAAGATTTTAAAACAATTTATTGATTTCAACGTCCAAAAAAGCTAATTTAAAAAAAAAAACGTAAAGTTTATAAATCATTAAATAATGGTTTTTAATTACGCCTACTCTTAAATATAAACATAAAATACTTAAAACCATCTGAAATGTCATGACATCCATATGTATTAAAATAGGAAGTATTTTTTTAACAATCCATCCACTCGCATCTCAGAACAGGCAGTTTGACATATACACACTGCAAGTTACCTTAACACAAATTGACACTGGATTATTGAAATCATTCAGCGGTCCTTAGCAGTCTTTGTTTTGTTTGATATAAAGATTACTTCATACCTGTCGTAATGATTTCTTGGAAAATAAGTTAAACACTTCATTTCTAGTTTTTTAACATATACTGGGCGATTCCAAAGTTTACTAAAAGCATATGTACTGAAAATGAACGATCACGATACAACTAAAATGCTTAATGATCTAAGTTTTATAAATATTTGATTTTTAGTCAATGTCTTTCTTAAGTCACATTTGTTGTATATCACAATAAATCTATAACTGTATATAGAGTACAACAAAGTAATTAAAGGCCCCTGAAAGATAGGAGTTTTGAAATGTCAACTGTTACTATTTTGAGCAACGTTTATTACACCAACCATATTCTGAAGAAGTATGACTTGACACTGACTGCAATTTTGCTCACTTAATACAACAACATCTCTTATTTACACACATGGGAATTTAAGAACAGTTAGTTACACGTATCATATTTCAAAATTAAGAGAAAAGTGATGAATTATATATCTATTTCACTCAGAATCCGATAAAAATCCCCCTTTGATGTTATTAAAGGGTGGCCTTGGGAATTCTTTTTCTTTGAATGATCCAGATTGTTAATTTTAATTTCAAGTTAGCTTTTACTCAGAATATGCTTGTTCTTTCTAAAACAAATGATATACATGTTTCAATATATGATGAAGCACATGTTGTACATGTACCTCAATACTTTTTGTAACACGGAGAATGAAGCTTACTTAGTATATAGAACGCTTGCAATTAAATAACTTTATTAATTAAGATGGCACCGTCCTGTTACTGAGTTGGCAAACGACAATTCCTGGATTAAAGCTTGGAAATTTCAAGTTCATACAGTCACTGTAAGCCGGAGGAGTGATACAACATTTCGATATGGAAATGCGACATTTATTAATTGTCAATATCAAAGCTGCTGCGCGCTAGTTGAAAAGGCGTTTTTTTTTCTGAAATGATAAGACATTAATCAAAACGCCCCATCGGTGATTCTCTGGGGCTAAGCTACATAGTTGTTTCTAGTGAATACCACAATATTGATTAAAAACTGCTTTTCTGACCCAGTTCTTGACATAGAGTAGCTGTAATTGGTGCTACACGCGTATCTAATCACCGGAGTTGCACGGATATTAAGCATTATTTAATTTCTAAGAAGATGTCGGCTTGTGAAGGATTAGAAAACAGGAGTCAAAGAGCCTAGATTGTGTAATAAAGAAATCAATCAAAATGGCATTGATTTTTCCGGCCCTAACGGAAGTTATCGAGTGCGAATCGATGTTCATTCTCAAATCAGATCCTCAAAGTTCTATTTGCACAGTGCTCGGTAAAAAGGAAACGACTGTTTTGTAGAGGCAATTATGCAGCCAAAACCCTCCCGATACGTTCTGACTTAGTTGTTGAAGTATTCTTGACACCTGTAAGAATAACTAATTCCAACTACCACTTCATCATCTTGAGAAATGGGAAAACGGAATAATTGGCATAACAGCCCGGGTCACTTCCAAGCACTTGTGAATATAAAACATTATCTTTTTCTCTGCAGGCAAGGCGTATTTTCAAAACCTGCATAAAAAGCACGCCTGGCAATTTTACTGGATAAGTTAGATAAGTAATGTAGTCCAATAGAAAATGGCAAGGTTCTAGACAGATTAACACCCAGCTGATCTTGATATGAAAATGTCTTTTTTGTACGGATTGGCTTTACTATCTGATATCATTAAGTACAAAAATAGTACTGAATTACAAATTAATCATAATGATATTAGCTATATATCAAATTTATACACGTTTTTAAAAATATATACTTTGTAGGCTTACATATCCTGTACATTGGGTGTGTCCCAGATAGGACCAGTAATGATGTGTTTTGGCGCCGTGAGCTCTACGAGCTGTATATTGATAGGAGTTTGTGCCAGTCGCCATATCAAAAGGTTTGCTTTCATCACTGCTGGTGCCACCTTTAATGTGGGTCTTCTGATCGTTCTGTGGCTGTGGAAACCAACACTGGATGACGTCCCAAATTTCTTCGTAGTAGCTGGATGTCTTGGCCTCTGTGACGCGATTTGGCAAACTCAGACATATAGTATGTAGAACATGAAAGGCTACAGGCCTTGTATCACTCAAGTTTAAATGACGTGGAAAATGGCGTTGAGTTATGAAATGAGCATCTTCAGCTAATTTCCCTTTTATTGGGAATCATCTACTGACTTTAATCGGTTATGCAAGACTTTATTTCTTTTCTAAAACAGATCATATTGGAAAATACAATACCCTAGGATACATTTTTAAAGGCTGAAATAATCGACAACATCTTTGATGAAGACCATAACATAGCCTAATATTAATCGTTAAGCGATCACCATTATATGTAGCCTTAATTTGTATTTGTAATGAAGATAAATTCAAATATTTCCCTTATAATGTAGTGATTAATCATATTTCTCTTGTTTTTCAGCCCTTTTCGGTGTTCTCTTCATTGACAAACAGGAAGCTGCATTCTCCTGCTACCGGATGTTATACGCCACTGGGTGCGCAATAGCTTTTGGATACAGCTACTTCCTCTGCGTTCAAACCAAAGTGATCGTGTTGGCGGGTGTCTTAGTAGTAGCATTGTTCATGTATTGCGTTATAGAAATGAAGGTACAGCTGCAGAGTCAGCACATCAGAGATATAGTGGCTCTGTGAGGTCTCTCAGTAGCTATAGGTACTTGTTGTTACCTATGTAAAGAAATCTATGGCGATGATAAAATATTCCTGTAATTTCTCTTACATCATGTTAGAAATAGATTTTATGTGCATGCATTACACATAAAGGTATGTGACGAACAAAACGTGCTCTGCTTCTCTTTTTCTTCATCTAGGATGAATATTTCGAGAAAAATGGGACCAAATGTCAATGTAGGTACATGTTAAGCAGTAAAATCATAATAAATAACGATTACAACCTTCTGTAAGAGAGTTTATTTTACAACCTTACCGGGTAAGGTGGACATATTTTATTATAGGCTTTTAATAATTACATGTTTTACTTTTCAATATTCATATTGTTTGTTTTCTGTGATGCATAGGTATATCAAAATATTTTATTTCCTCGCTGGTTTCGAAATAAATTTAATAAAACTTGGTTTCTCTAGTTTTTACATCGGACACAAAAGAAAAACAATAGCTTTAATTATATTAAATTGTAAGACCAGAATAAATATGTCATATTTTTAAGAATATTCTTGTTGTGAAAATAATATTTGTAGTATAAAATGTTGCCATTGATTTTTAGTAGCTTCTTTTAAAAAATATATTTTAATAATATGCGAAAGTATGACATATATCTGACAAAAATAAACCACATCATTACACTAGTGGTGTCTTAAAGTGAATATTTACATATCATTTTTTTCAATATCTTATATTAGCAAAATTACGAAAGGGTACATGTATCTTATTCATGACATAAGATTTAATTGATAAAATTGTCTAGCCATTATTGCTGTCTGGATCAAATGTAAAGATAACGAACAGTAAACGCTCAAATTTCCAATTAAACAACACAAATTGAAAGCACAGCAAACACTGTTCCAAGAAATATTGTCGGTCAGCTAATAAAGGAGCACAATTAGTTTCCATGGGAATTTCAACAGACTGTTGGAAGACCTGGTCTCCAAAGACTTCATAGATATTGCTATTAAGGAACTCAGGAACTCAAAGTATCAATTTCAGAATACTTCTGCGTAGAATCAGAGTGATTTTTTAACAAAGGAAGTTTGTAGATGTGGATGACCAACCGCACGACATAAACATTTCCATTTATATTTTTAAAGAAAACATTTGTCAAAAACCTGGTTTTTAACGTAAGGAATGGTAGTGAAAAGTGTTGAAAATCAAATTCTGATGCTATTGATTTAGGCAAAATTTTGTGAAAAATTTTTCTAAAAATTCTTTATATTCTTTATCCATATTTGAATAACATAACTTTTCGAATTTGTTGTTGTTGCACATTACTGCTGAAGTTACTACTTCACGATCCTTGATATTTTCGTGAAGAGTAAAGAAAGAGGCTTGAAAAATCATTAAATAGATTCCGCTATGTATCTTTGCGTGAAAGGATTTTTATGTTTTTGAATCCAGCATAGGTTAGGTCATAAAAAGTCAACCTGGTTGTTGGAAATAAGAGAAATATTTCAAAGTGACTTATGATTTTGAAGAACTATTTCTTAGAAATGGAACCATGAGTATAAGTTGGATTAACACTGTAAAATTAAATTTCAAGTTCCTCTAAAATGCACTTGTTATATAAATCCTTACAAACATACACTATGTTGTAACGTGCTCGCCAGCTTGAACCAGTACAACGATCATGTAATGAAATATTAAGACAGAATAACGAACAGTTATTAAATTCAGAAGTCCGTTGAAACAATTCAGATTGGGTGCAGAGAAAACAAAGACCTCTAAAAACATCAGGGGTGGGAACAGGTGCCATGGATGTGTGAGCATCCACTGTTGACCGGTCACACCTGCTGTGTGCTCCTTGTCAAGATCAGGCAAACGAAAAATCCGTAGACAATTCAGTATGAAAATCTGTATAATTCTTAAGTCACTTCTGAATTCTGAAAGAAGAAGGATAGGGAATTTTCGAACAAAGCATTTAATATCATAGAGAGCACATCTTAAGACCTGTGTATCTTTTAACATTGGTGTAAATTGAAACTGGAAAAAGAAAGAAACAAAATAGCGCAAATCTACTATTGAAATTAAGTAACTCTGTACATCAAAACGCACCAACGATTGCCTCAGATTAAAGATGTTGCACTACTTTTGCCATTTGCAGACTGTCAAATATTCGGCGGAGTCAAGCCTTTCATCTAACTTTTACTTGATCAATTAATTTAAACAAGAGCTGAACTTTGACTTTATCAAATTAGATATAAATATATACGTTATTAGATACTATACTCTCTGTGCACAATTGTAAAATGGTGATGAGATTGATAAATTCAGTGTTCAGAAGATACAGAGTACTTTATATTGCGATCTTCACAAAGTACTAAACAGAAATTAGGACAATCTGTATATCTTTTGAGTTATTAATAGTCATTCCTAAAATATAATAAAATACCTATAATGGTACGACTTTTGAAAAACAAAAGTTATGGAAAATCTGAAATTGATAACGAATTTATTTCATTAACGAAATATTTTTCAATAAAATTTTATCATAATATTATTGTAAACGTAAACAGATTTAAAAAAAATAATAAACGACATCAATCAAGGTTCTGTGTGGAAATTATAGTAATCGTGATTTTACACTATTAAAATGAACAAATAAATTAATAATGAAGAAATTTGGTAGCTCATCCGTACTTCATTGTTCTTTACTTTCAGCTCATCTTACGCTTTTTTTTAAACAAGAGCTGAACTTTGACTTTATCAAATTAGATATAAATATATACGTTATTAGATACTATACTCTCTGTGCACAATTGTAAAATGGTGATGAGATTGATAAATTCAGTGTTCAGAAGATACAGAGTACTTTATATTGCGATCTTCACAAAGTACTAAACAGAAATTAGGACAATCTGTATATCTTTTGAGTTATTAATAGTCATTCCTAAAATATAATAAAATACCTATAATGGTACGACTTTTGAAAAACAAAAGTTATGGAAAATCTGAAATTGATAACGAATTTATTTCATTAACGAAATATTTTTCAATAAAATTTTATCATAATATTATTGTAAACGTAAACAGATTTAAAAAAAATAATAAACGACATCAATCAAGGTTCTGTGTGGAAATTATAGTAATCGTGATTTTACACTATTAAAATGAACAAATAAATTAATAATGAAGAAATTTGGTAGCTCATCCGTACTTCATTGTTCTTTACTTTCAGCTCATCTTACGCTTTTGAAATATGTCAAATGTATATTGAGATCTTTTCTTGATAGAAAAATACAATAAACACAGGAACTTGTTTTGGAACTTTCATTGTTGACCTAAAACTTTTATAATCATTTAATTGTATGCGTTGTTTTGATTATAGGCATATCAAAATGAACATTGATTTCAGGAGACATCATGCACACCAGGCCCCAAAAGGTCATGAATTGTGTCAATACAAAGTATCCTCTTTTTATTTATTTTTTTTTATAACATATTTTTAATTTACATTTTAATTGCATCAGAATTCGGAGCGAATCATTAGCATCAAAACACTTTGTACAACCAATCCTCACGATAAATTAAAGACCAAGCTTTTTGATATCATAGACGACTGTTTCGTCATAAAAATGGAACAGAGACTTTGTAATGTAATAGTTTGTAGAGTAATAGTTTGTGATTGGTTATCCTCAAATTTACTTTATTACAAATCATTCCGATTTTTACATCCAAGACTCTGAAGATGAGATTAAAAAATGCTTGAGTTTCTCATTTACAATACCTATGTAGTCTTTGGAGGCCACATCTTCCAAAAGCAGAGTATATTCAAAAACTTCTCCATGAAAAGAAAGTCCCTTGCTATTGCCTTCACTTTGACATTTATAATATCGATTACGTTTATTCAATTAATGATATTCTTTTTTATTTATAATTTGATTGGATATGAGCTGCGAACTTGATATAAATGACACACAGAGAATGACATATCTGCTTCATTCTTGGATGTTTCACAAAAGAAAGACAATGATTTCAAACTAAGAAGTAAAATTAGTGAATTTGTCAGTAGTGAACTACTGACAAATAAGTTGATGTTACAAGAGTATCAAGATCTCGTTTAAAGACAACATTTCGCAAAGTATATGGTCGATTCAATGACCTTGTTTGCTACTGCAACCTGTCGTTAGGATCAATGTTGACTGAAGTTGTAAGGCCATTTTTCCATACTGAATTTATCCCTTTACCCAATCAAGACGAAGGGCGAGTGTGACTTTTCGACAAGGGGTGCTTACTCCTCCATGGCAGCTGATTCTACATCTGAAGGTTTCAGGGCTCTATGATTAATCTGCTCTCAATATGTAATTTTTACTTGGACTTTTGAGCATGGTTGCTATCCGTTCTTTCATATTTCTCGAAAAATCATCTGTATTCAGAAATTCTTTCAAATCTCTCACCTCATATGACCTCCGTGTGTATGAAAAAGATTGCAATAACGAACAGTGATCGATCTCATAAATCCTTAGAATCCTCAAATTGTAATTGTAAAACAAATAAAAGCCTGCATCGAGTGAAGATGATCATACTTTAAGAACATATCAGACTCCTGTCACGAGTGAAGATGTCCAGACCAGACTGCTGTCGCTAAAAAGGGAAACAAGAGTTAATTAATCAGTGTTCACATTGATACTGTCCCTGAACAGAATTCATTTTATGATATAAAAGTTTACAATACGACGAATCTTTGAGGAAGGGTTATGTTCTCGATAAAATATGTTCAAATATTATCTTACAACAGCTGTACTACAAGTAGCTGCTATTAATATCATGTCAAAATTTTCTGTTAGCCAAAAAAGTACCTGCATGAAATTCATTACATTCATCGCTAAATAAATGAAAGAAAGTGCAACTACATAATATAAAATAATTATCCCTTGCAGTAAAAATTATATCTTCCTGATCTGAAAACAAGTCAAAGCAAATGGATAAAACAAATAATGAAATAAATGGATTTTTAAAGCAAAGTCGTTGTTTATATCATGTTTGTTTGATAAAACGCTTTAATTTTATTGTTGTTTGGATGTAAGCAAGGAGATTATGGAAGAATGCAATTATAGAAAAAATGCATCTCTAATTTTCAAACTCTTCCTGAAGTAAAAACAATCTAATCTCGACTGTATAGTGTACTTGGTAAACACTTCATGCACAAACAAATACATATCATTACCTATTGGGACGCGTAAAAGAAACAAAAATAACAAATCTGCTGTTAAAATAAGGAACCACTGCAAACCAAAACATGAAAAAAGATTGCTATGGTCAATGATATCTCAAATATTCTTAAAATTTGCAAACTTTCAAATATTTGATCAAATCAAACCTTTCATCCAATTGTTATTTGATTTTTTAAACAAAGTTAACTTTAAACCTTCAAAATAAAGTGCACGAAGATGAACTCAAATT